ATACGTGTGCCGTTTTTTAGGTGTTTAAAGTATGTTTCTACGACGGGTTTCTATTACCGTCGTCTTTTAAAAAACAACGACCGTTTTTTGATCTACCGTCGTTGTTTACTGGTCGTCTTTTGCCCTTTTTGTAGTAGTGTCTGTAAGCAAAACGATTATTCTACTTCTCAACTTAAACCTAGAAAACTGGAATTTCTACCTGGAATCAAAGTAAATAATCCCATTTCTAGAGCAAACTCAAACTCAAACTCATTTATTCAGAACCATTAAGCAGGTGTCATATTTACTTAATCATATAGTAACAAATATTCCAACTTATGAGTGCAGGTATTTTTTTTTCCTTCTTAAAGGCAATATAATCATAAGTTAATAAATCCATGTTAGCATTCATCACCTACTGTAGATATGAAAAAAATAAATTAAAGTATGCTTGACGAGTAGATTATTACTTCAACTTCCTTCACATATGCATCATCGTAACCAGACTCTTCAATAACATCCAAGTATGAAACAATTAAAAAACCTCCAAGGTACTTGCGGAGGTGGCTAGTAGTAGCATGGTACCGTCCGTTCCTACATTAGACATATCAGGGGATGATAAAACTCATAATATTGTAAAAAGTAAAAAGCAAAAAAGAAATGACACAAAATAAAAATAGCATGCTCAAATATGGGTATTATGCGCACACACAAGCACAGAGTTCACTCACTTAGTCAAATCATCAGAGCATTTAGCAAGCCAACGTTTCAATGAAGAGCTCTTCTTGCGGATTCCTCTGAAGGCCTTTGGCGGTCTTGCCAAGTTTGGAAGGTGAATGTCATCAAGATCTATAGAGTTTAGTTCATGTGAGTGTGCAAGAGATTTTAATAAAGCTTCCTCTGTAATTCCTGCAAATGAATCTGGAGAATATCCATTCCATGAGAATTTATGTCAAACAAACCAGGAAATGCAGGACAAGGATAATAATGTATCAGCTCCACCATCCAGTAGTTTCCCAGAAATTGTCATAAACTCCTTCAAAAGCTTACCCGAACTCCAATTTCTTGGATGCTATTAAGCAGTAGGGAATCAGTAAGATGAATTAGTATACAACATCCTATTTGAAAATCTCATACTTCTATCTTCAGTGCGTTAACATTTGCAAAGACAATTTCATCTACCACTGCTTGCATATTAGACTTCCATCGAGTCAATTAACAACAAAGGTGCGGAAGGAAATATGATATTTGCACGTTAAATCGAATAGGAGAATTTAGTAAAAACAAGAATATGAAACTCAGCTAGATTTATTAACAAATAAAGCAAAGATGTATAAAATATGAAAAACAGGCCAAGCAAGATATGGTCGCAGCAATCAGTAATACAAAGGCATGCTTACTAATATACACTATCTATTTATTTTTAACACAAAGGCATTCATACATTGATAATTTTTAAACTGATTACCTACTGTATTCTAGTTCAAAATATAGCAATACATTTGAAGTACTGACACAATGTTTAGAATAGTGAGTGTTTATTAATTAAGAAGTTTAAGTAACACAAAATGCTACTATATTTGGGTGATAAATTAGACAGCAGGGAGAATGAAGTTGGTGAGACTCAGAAACTTACTATTTATTAAGTAATATAATTCATGAAGTTAATTAAAAAAATCAATACTAATTATTCACTGAATAAATAATGATTAAAATATAAATACTAATTTAACTAATTAAATAAGGCAAATATGTTATTTAATTACTAACAATAAAATTTTAAAAAATTAATTAACCTTTAAATATCCTAAGTTTATATATATATATTTTTTTTTAAAGACCTCTCCCGACGAAATTTCTGTCGGCAGAGGTATTTTCGTCGCGAAAAACGATCCGGCAAATTTTTGCCGGCATAGATCTGTGCCAACGAAATTTTTTTTAATTACTTTAATTAGTAATTATGTTTAAATTATTATTTCTTTAGTGAATATTTAAATATGTTACTTATTTCATAAATTGCTCAATAAATAATAATGAATTATTTTAAATTATTTTGTGCAATTTTCAAACCTAATTTCATTCAAATTTAAATTGAAAGGATATGTCAAAAACGAAAAAAATAAATTGCTTATTTTCGTTTGGGTGTCTTAATTAAATTTCTCCAAAGCCCAAGAGCCCCAAGGACCAGGTCTTTGATTAATATAATTATTATAAATTAGTGCCAAATCCAAAGCCGAGCCTACAGCCAAGCTCATTACCCCAACTCTCCAATGTTAACCACACTTACCAAACCACTACAGTGCTTTGTTTATAAGGACCTTCATAGGATTGTGGATTTTCGATGTGGGTGGTTCACAAAGGGCACCTCAAAAGAATATCTTCACAGTATAGCCGTGCGGCTGTACTTCAAAAAATAGAATATTTTAAAAGTCCAGCCGTGCGGCTATACCCTTTAAGTAGCTCACTTTTTTAATTACTTTGATTAGTAGTTATGTTTTACTTAGTGAATATTAAAGGAAAAAAGAAAAAAGCAAAATTGAATTACTATTTATTAAGTAATATAATTCATGAAGTCTAGCCGTTCGGCCATACTTTTAAAATATTCGAATGTATTTAGAAAGTATAGCCGTGCGGCTATACCCTTTAAATATACATTTTTGTCATATCGTTTTAGGGTTTAGGGCTAAAATACCACTTTAGCCCATTGGGCTAGAGTTAGTTCTACAATTATTTTATTTATACAAGCGATATTGGGGAATGAAAATTTAAATTCTTTATGATACCTCCCATTCTAATGATTTCTAACTATTAGCCCATTGGGCAAGAATAAAAAAATGAATTTTATTTATAACAAATAATACGGGTTAAACCCATAAATACAACAACAACAAATAGGGATCTGCCAACATTTTGTGGATCAAAGAAGGTTGAATTTCATAGTATAAAATTGCTTGGGATTGCTTTTTTTTGCCAGAAACCTGCCTCACTTTAAAGTTAGGCAGTTTAAGGTATTTGGTAAAAATAAAATATCCCAATTATTTTAAAAGAAGTGGCCTTTTGATAGCAGCTTTTGAGTTGCTTTTCAAGGCTGATTTCAAAAGAAGCAGAGATGAACCTTTAATGAATTTTTTAAATTCCCAATTATTCATTTGTAAAAATGACACCACCTCCACTTCCACATCCAACTCCACCACTTGAGTGACCTCTGCAACTAATATTTGAGTTGAGTGACCAAAATGTAACTTCGAGTATAGTTGAGGGACCATTTCAACTAATATTCATTTTAAAAAAATGACACCACCTCTACTTCCACATCCAACTCCACCACTTGCGCCACCACATTCACTACCTCCACAACCACCGCCACCACCACCACCACCACCTCGTCCTGCACCACCACCTCCAAAACCTCAACATCCACCACCATCTCCACAACCAACACCACCACATGAGAATATATTGGGACACGCACATACACGAGATGCCTTTCTAAATTCTAACCTTATGAACTACACAACTAGCTAGCTCAGCTAAGAAATGGTTTTGGTCAAATAAAAAATTTCTTAGTCAACACCTTTTCTGGATCACCCCCACCTTTAAACATGTTATAGGTGTCTCGCATGACAGGTTTCGGATCTTGGCCAATCTGCATTCATCGAGTATGTGGTTAGAAGAATTTTATTCAACTTTTCACTCAATACATGGGAGTAAGAAGCACTTAAAAAAGTGTCAACTAGAATTATACATTCACTCATAAGTATACTTGGTTATGCTTGCTCAAAGAACTAGTACCTATCAAGATAGTAAAGTGATAGGCCCCTTTCCCAAAGATCTGATAACAAAAGTGACACACTTTCTAATTTTTTCTACATCAAGTATTATTGTTTTTCAAAATTTAATTATCTCAGTACCTAACAAAATCATATGGAAACAAGAACCATCAAAGAACTAGTACCTATCAAGATAGTAAATTGATAGGCCCCTTTCCCAAAGATCTGATAACAACCTTAGCCAACACTATGTAACTTAATTCGGCAATTCATATCCATAGCCAACACACTTTTATAAAATAATATTCAAAGAGTATAGACTGCTATACCAGGATATTTGTTTTAATTTTTTCAATCAATAGTATAGACGGGCGGCTATATTCGGGACTTTTTATTTTTATTTTTTTATTAATGCTATATTGGGTCCTTTTTAAAAAAAAAAATTCTCTAATTTACTATTATCAATAAGAGTAGTTTAGAGCATTATCCATTACTATTACTTCATTACACGAGTCTCCATTGTCCCTTTTTAATTTTTTACTTTTCTACAGTTTTACCCATATAAAGAATTTAGCATTTTCCCGTTTAATACTTGTATTATACAAGTACATATGTATTTTCAATAATACTTCCATTTTCCATACACGTTTTAAAGACTCGGTACAATACACGTTTTGTAAAAAGCAAACATACAATACACTTATTGTACACATACGTACGTATTTTTCATTTTTAATACACGTGGTTTTTACAAAATTTTCAATAATACACACAAAATTCATGTATTATACACATAATTTTCACAAATTATTGAATAAAAATAATATATATTAAAATATTATATAGTGGCCGAACTTTTCAGTTGTAACTTGCCAAAGTTTTGCTGAATAAAACACGTATGTATTTTGTTCATTATTTCCCATTCTATATTTTACTAACTATGAAAGAAATTGAGAGGCTGAGATTATCTCTTACTTGTTGTATGAAAAATGCAACATGGTGATTTTGCAATCTCTTTGCCAACGAGAACAACAATGTCAAACAAAGTGTTATGGGTATAGTAGTAAGAGAAGTGGTAGTATTCTTCATGTAAAGTGTTGTTTGTAAGAAAAATGCAACATGGTGATTTTGCAATCTCTTTGCCAACGAGAACAACAATGTCAAACAAAGTGTTATGGGTATAGTAGTAAGAGAAGTGGTAGAATTCTTCATGTAAAGTGTTGTTTGAAAAGTGAAGCAATTACCAAGACCACTCCAACTCAGCGTGCAATTCTCTACGACAAATAATTAGTGCAGTAACATAATTTAGTATCACTCAAGAGAACGAGGTAGATCAAAGGCAAATATTCCCACACAAAAAAGAAGAAGAAAAAATTGAACTCTCATATTGATTTACTATGAAAATTCTCTCTTTTCAATATTTGCTTTGGATATGTTGAATCTAGCAAATTAATAACTATAAAGTATAAACTAATGGAAGTAGGCCACAAAATTTCAAAATTTCTAGGGAAAACTTCTTTGCAAACTCTCAAACTAGAAAGCTTTTGTTTTGCTTCATGCGTAACCTCTCTCTGTTAACTGTCTTTCCTGAGCAGAAGGGTACTTGCAATACACTTATAGTGGGACCAAAGGGGGGTAAAGTTAAGGTTTATCAGTCCAATGATTTTTGAAATCACATCAATTTCAAGTAAAGATTCCCTTTATATAGACTCCTAAAACTCCAACAGCCAGTGTTATTGCAAGAGGAATTGTCAAGAGTTGATCAGGTTGAGCAATGGTTCTTTTTGTGCTCTTAGTTCTTACCGTGGAATATTTTTTATTTTTTTAAATAAATAGTATAGCTGCGTGGAGTATAACCGGGCGGCTATACTCTTTAAAAAAAAATTAAAAATAAAAAATCTGCCTCCTAGGCGCTATTAGGAGGGTCCATTTTTCTATTTAATTATTTTTAATAAATAGTATAGCCGCACGGCTATCATGTGGTTTTTTAAATTTTTTAAGAAATGAATAGTATAGCCGTGCGGCTATACGAGTAAAAAAATAAAAAATGGGCCACCTAGCCTAGGCGCTTGGAGGGTCTTTTTTATTTTTTATTTTTTTAAAAAGGAGGGTCTTTTTTATTTTTTATTTTTTTAAAAAGTATAGCCGGTCGGCTATACGTTGTAAGTATCAAAGAGTATAGCCGGTCGGCTAGACTCGGGATTTTTAAAATTTGTTTTAATAAAGAGTATAGCCGCGCGGCTCTACTGTAATAAATAGTACAGCCGCACGGCTATAAGCGACATTTTTTTAAATTTTTTTAATGAATAGTACAGCCGTGCGGCTAACTAGGTCCCTTTTTTAAAAAAAGTTTCCCTAATTTTCTTTTATCGATAAGAGTAGTTTATAGGATTATCCATTACTATTAGTACATTACTCGAGTCTCTATTTTCCATACACGTCTTAAAGACTGGGCAAAATACACATTTTGTGAAAAAGCAAACATACAATACACATATTGTACACATACGTTTATATTTTTCATATACACATTTTTTGTATACAAAATTTTCAATAATACACACAAAATTCACATACATGTATAAATTCTTCATATACACGTATTATACACATAATTTTCACATATTATTGAATCAAAATAATATATATTAAAATATTATATAATGGCCGAACTTTTCAGTTGTAACTTGCCAAAATTTTGCCGAATAAAACACGAACATATTTTATTCTTATTTTTCCCGTTCCGTATTTTACTAACTATGAAAGAAATTGAGAGGCTGATATTATTTCTTACTAGTTGTGAGAAAAATGCAAGATGGTGATTTTGCAATCCCTTTGCCAACAAGAACAACAATTTCAAACAAAGTTTTTGTTAGCGAGATATCCCTATTCTATTAGGATATTATTTTATTTATTTCATTTTGTATAAATATTATGTAATTAGGATACCACTTATTTTCCTAGTCTAACCCTACTAGGGTTTGTAACCTTATTATAAATACTTCCTTTCGGAGAATGAAATATATCTGAAAATATTCTACCATATTGTTTGACTTGGCATCAGAGCCGACTTTCTGGTGTAACCCAGAATGCAATTCTCTACGAAAAAAAGAAGAAGAAAAAATTGAACTCTCAAATTGATTTATTGTGAAATTTCTCTCTTTTCAGTATCTGCTTTGGATATGTTGAAACTTGGAGCCCCAACTCACTTTGGCCAAACCCGAAATCGGGGGTACTTTTCAAGTGTTTTGACGCGTGGCAAATGCCATTCAAGTGTTTTAGACCGCCTAGGCATTTTGAAAATGCAGCAACAAGCTAGGCGTTAAGAAACCTGACTTTCATAATAAAGCCCAGCATATAAAGAAGCGTAGAAGTAATCACTCTCTCGGCCTTTTGAAAATGCAGCAACAAGCTATGGATTAAGAACAATCACTTAAGTGTGAGGAAATTCTTGGTATTAATGCAACTAGACATGCCTCTATAAGAAACAAAAAATTATCTGAAGACCATTATGCACTGTAAAATGTACATCACAAAACATATACATGACTATTAATGCAAGATCAATGGTCTACCTGCTTTTATTGCCTCCTTAGCTAGTTGCTCATCCATCCCAGAAGAGAAGTCTTTACTTTTTGCTAGTTACTTGGCCATACAAACTCTGTTCAACCTCCTATCTCCAACTGTTTTTGCTTCGAAGAGAAATCTTTCGCGTGCAGCACATAATATATGCCTAGCCAATCAGTATTCTGGTTCTGTTTTTGCATTATTCGGGTGAGTTCACAAAAAATGATCTCTGATCTGTAAGATTACAAAGCATCTACTTGCATGTAGGGTTATTTTCTGTATTATATAGTAGGGTTTTTATTTTTGATGCATAATATAGTGGGTTTAACATGAAAGAGTCAGGTGATTGTAAATGACACATGATCTCCATGTGAAAAGCATAGTGCAAAATCTAGAAGACCCCCACATAACATTGATTTATTGCGACTTGAAACAACTCAGTATGCAAAGATATACATATGTTGTTTGAAAGGTTATTGGGTTAGTATAGGATATGAAACTAATGGAAAATATGAATCATAAACCCTATAAAAATGGGCAGGATGACTAACAAATCAGAAAATAAGGAATGATTCAATCAAGACAAGCAATACTAGTCGCTGAGACTAATATACCACATTGATATAGGTATACTCTACTTAAAAAAACATTTGAAATCCAGGAATTCAACTGTAAGCTTTTGAAAATCTCAAGGAATTTAAAACAGAAGCATGCATACCAGCGTTGTCTGAGGATGAAAGAAACATGATGAGTGTGTCAAATCTTGGAACCCTGGTTAAGTTCTCCAGATAATTGACGGCCAAATCCATTTTTTCACTGCCAAAGAAATAAATCAAAGGTGGGGCCATAAGCATTTTATCAAGCTCAACAAGAAAACATACATATCAGACATAAACATTACTTACACGAAAAAGGTTGCTACACACTTGATAATGTCAAGAAGTATGGGAACAGTCAAAGCATTTTTGAATATCTGCGGCAATGCACTTGGAGATATAGCCTGTACAGAAATAACACAAAAAATAGCATGAAACAAAGTAACAACATAAATGGAAAGTCAGAATGAGTGATGATTTCCTAAACAAATACCAACTGCATTCACAATCCTTTATGGACATTTGAAATTGTTCAAAAGGGACACAACAAATGGGGAACTTCTTGGATGGCCCCTAGCATGCAGAAGCCAGATAGGCAGACTGACAATGCAATTACTGGTATACTTCTCGCAACCATCCAAAGAGGACAATAAACGAGACTAATAGAATCTTTGCAGTGGTCAACCGCACGGATGACCACCATGCAAAAAGAACACATTCATGGTCACCTACTTTGGGATGACAACGAACATATGAATCTTGCATTTTGGTAGACTATATTTTTTTACAGTAAACCACATGAATACTTTTGCATACCTTCAACAGGCTAGTCTGTCGAGCATTATCTCCAGAGAATCCTCACCAAGAAACCTCAAATTGATATGCCGAATTTGGTGGTGTGATCTTTTCCGCAGCTACAGCCTTGACTCGGGAAGCAGCTCGAGAAGCAAGCTCTTGTACCGATGCCTTCACCTCTTGCTTCCTAGTTGTGTTATTTCTCTACAAAATTATCATAATATAGACTAGTTCAAGAGACTAAAAGACACATATGCAAAAGAAATAAATAAAAGTTTAAAGCAAATAAAAAGATAAAGCCATTGAGTCCAGATAACATGGTAGGAGTACACAACATATAAGTCTGATAAGAAGCTATAAAGACAAATGCAATTAATAAGGTTCATAAACAAGTCTATCTTACTTATTCACCTGTTACTAAGAAGAAACGAAAACTCAATGACAACAACAAAAAATAAAGTAAAAGGAGCAACAAAACACTTTTCTTGACACCTTAGTGTGATCTTGAACTGCAATCATTTCTATTATTTGAGCACTGCTGGAGACAAGCTGGATGCTTTGTCCGTTCACTTTGGGATCCAACTTTCCCACTTTCTGCATTTCTTGTACAGAATTTTTCCGTGCTCCAGATGCTTTCTGAAGAATTGTCTGGGAATTAACAATTCAAACAAGTCAATTTAATATATAAATGAACTGGTAGATGAGCATGATATACACCATCAAACAAAACACAAGAAATGAATGATAGACTCCAAAAAATCAAAACTCGCCTTTCAAAAGCAAGCAGACCTGCATAGCTCAGACCTCTTCACCTTCCGACCCCTTCCTCAAAGCATTTCTGTTCTTCTTCTTCTCCTTCACTTCCGGAACGGCAGACACCTCCTCAATCTCCTCCTGAATATGGTCCAATTCTATGGCTCTGGAACTCGACCCTGTCTCCGCTATCAGATTTTTCTCCGTCAAAATCTGCAACAAGCTGGCGATGTTGGGCTAGGCGGGCGCTAGGCGGCTAGGCGGGGGCTAGGCGGCTGGGTGGGCCTCTTAGGCGGGTTGGGTCTTTTTTCGGTGCCGAACCCGGAGGACGAAGCAGCCCAAACTGAAAAAAACCAATCGAAGCTTGAGTTTGATAGAGAAGCGAAATGGCTGTGACTGCTGCGAGTGCAAGCTTCGTGTTAATATTTGAAGCGTATAGCCGAGCGGCTATACTCTTAAAATATTCGAATATATTAATATTTAAAAAGTATAGCCGGTCGGCTATACTCTTAAAATATTCGAATGTATTTAGAAAGTATAGCCGGGCGGCTATACCCTTTAAATATACATTTTTGTCATATCATTTTAGGGTTTAGGGCTAAAATACCACTTTAGCCCATTGGGCTAGAGTTATTTCTTCAATTATTTTATTTATACAAGTGATTTTGGGGAATGAAAATTTAAATTCTTTCCAATACCTCCCATTCTAATGATTTCTAGCTATTAACCCATTGGGCAAGAATAAAAAAATGAATTTTATTTATAACAAATAATACGGGTTAAACCCACAAATACAATAACAAAAAATAGGGATTCGCCAACATTTTGTGGATCAAAGAAGGTTGAATTATGATTTCCAGCTATTAGCCCATTGGGCAAGAATAAAAAAAATGGATTTCATTTATAACAAATAATACAGGTTAAAGTTAAACCCATAAATACAACAACAAAAAATAGGGATCCGCCAACACTTTGAGGATCAAAGAATGTTGAATTTCATAGTATAAAATTGCTTGTATAGAAATTTACTTTTTAAAATGTATCCATCGTAATTATGAACTAAACCCAATTACAGTCTTTTTTCTCATTGCACTTGACAACCCTTCTCTTCTGCTATGAGATATATCAGTCCGCGATGTATTCTATGCAGATGAAAAATTGGATACAAAAGTAGTTCTCAAAAGATTCAGTGGTTCTTTTTTTTTTAATCTCTTTTTTCAATGACTTAAACACAATATCTAATTTCACATCACTTTTTTTTTTCTTTGTTTGTTCCGAACACATATTACGAATACGAAATATCCAGAATTATTTAGTACAAGCAAACTCATGAATCAAACGTTTTCATAAGTACTTTTCGCTCTTCTAAAAACAATTCCAAACAAGCCCTAAATCAAACACCCATAAAAGGTTTATTCTTGCGACTTTCCATTATCAGCTGGCAAGTCATCAGTTCTGTTGCATGATTAATGCTAGCAATTGTGGATGGCCTTTTATAGTTCTCAAAAGAATTCAGTGGTTCATTTTTTTTTAATCTCTTTTTTCAAGGACTTAAACATAATATCTAATTTCACATGACTTTTTTTTTTCTTTGTTTGTTCCGAACACATATTACGAATACGAAATATCCAGAATTATTTAGTACAAGCAAACTCATGATTTCCAATACATGCATCCAGATCATACTAGAAATCTGAACCATATAGAGACTCATGCGAGCGAGGAGGTCTGGAAGCCCATTTTGTGATCATGTTCTTTAATTCCTCTTGCAGTTGTTGGGGCAGGTTTCCACATAAATTACACCTGCATTGTTAAAATGAAATTATTATTCCATATATATCCTCAACAACTCTACGAGTAGGATTTAGCTTTTGTGAAAAACAGAGAAAGGCAACAAGGAAAGGCAAGCAAGGGAGTGAGAGGCAAGGCAAGGCAAAGGGAAGGCTAGACAAAGGCAAGAAAAGGCAAAGGCAAGGCATGAGAAGGCACGAGAAAGAAAGGCAAAGGGAAGGCAAGGCAAGGGCAAGGCAAGGCAAGGGTAAGGCAAGGCAAGACATGTCAAAGCAAAGCAAAGGCAAGACAAGGCAAGGGAAAGCCAATGCAAAGAAAAGGCAAGGCAAGGCAAAGGCAAGGATCGGGAAGGCCAGGAAAGGCAAGGCTAGACAAGGCAAGGGAAGGCAAAGGGAGGGGAAGGCAAGGCAAGGAAAGGCAAAGCTAGGCAAGGAAAGGAAATGCAAGGGAAGGCAAGCTAAGGAAAAGCAAGGAAAGGCAAAGGCAAGGGGAGGCACATCAAGGAAAGACAAGGTAACACAAGGAAAAGACAAAGCAAGGTATGGGAAGGCAAGGCAAAGGTAAGTCAAGGCATAGTTAGGCAAGGCAAGGAAAGGCAAGTCAAGGTAAGGTAAGGCAAAGAAAGGAAAGGTGAGGCAAAGGCAAGACACATCAAAGCAAAGCAAGGCAAAGGCAAGGCAAGGAAAGGCAAAGTTTGGCTAGGCAAGGGGAGGCAAAGGCAAAGAAAGACACGTCAAGGCAAAGCAAGGCAAGAGAAGGTAGAGGCAATGCACGTCAAGGTGTCTCAAGTCAAGGGAAGGCAAAGGCAATGCACGTCAAAGCAAGACAAGGAAATGTGAGGAACATACAAGGCAAGGCATGTCAAGGTAAGGCAGTGCAAGCAAAAGGAAAGGGAAGACAAATACAAGGCAACAAAAGGTAAGGAAAGGAAAGAGAAAGCAAAGGCAAGGAAACATAAGGGAAGGGAAGGGAAGGTAAGGAAAAAAGAGGCAAACGGAAGGCAAGGCATATCCAAGGAAATCAAGGGAAGGCAACAAGGCAAATGAAAGGTAAGGCAAGGCTAGGGAGGCACGTTAAGGTAAGGCAACATAAGGGAAAGTAAGGGAAGACAAAGACAAGGCTAGGCACGACAAGACCAGACAAAGGCAAGGCAAGACAAGATAAGGTAAAGGAAAGGCAAGGTAAAGGTAAGTCAAAGCAAAGGCAAGACTAGGCAAGTCAAGGAAAGGGCAAGGCAACGGAAAGGGGAGGCACATCAAGGAAAGACAAGGCAATGCAAGGGAAATTGAAAGCAAGGCAAGGCACATGCAAGGTACATGCAATGCATGGGAAGGCAGAGGATGATAAGGGAAGTGAAGGCAAGTCAAGGAAATGGAAAGGCAAGGGACATGCAAGAAAAAAGAAAGTCAAGGAAAGGGAAGGCAAAGGCATGGCACGGCAAGGCATGGGATGATAAGGGAAGGGAAGGCAATGCAAGGAAAGGGAAAGCAGGGGGTAGAAAGGTAAGGCAAAGCAAAGTCGAGGCAAGGGAAGGGAAGGCAAGGCATGGGATGACAAAGCAAGGGAAGGCAAAGCAACGAAAGACGAGGGAAGGGCAAGGCAAAGGAAGGTAAAGTAAGGAAAGATGAAGGCAAGGCAAGGGAAGGGCAAGGTAAAGGACATGCAAGAAAATGGAAAGTCAAGGAAAGGGAAGGCAAAGCCATTGCAAGGCAAGGCATATGCAAGGTACATGCAAGGCATGGGAATGCATGGGATGATAAGGGAAGGGAAGGTAGGGGGTGAAATGATAAGGCGAGGCAAGGGAAGGCAAGACATAGGAAGACAAAGCAGGGGAAGGCAAATCAACGACATGCAAGGGAAGGGCAAGAAAAGGGAAGGCAAAATAAAGGAAAGGTGAAGGCAAGGCAAGGCAAGGGAAAGGTAAGAAAAGAAACATGCAAGGAAAAGACAAGTCAAGGAAAAGGAAGGAAAAAGCAAGGCTTGGGAAAGCAAGGAAAGGCAAGGTTGTGCAAGGCAAGGCAAGACAAGGAAAGGAAAGGAAAGGCAAAGGCAAGATAAGACAAGGGCAATGGAAGGGCAAGGAAATGGTAGGTAAAGGCAAGGCTTGGCAAACCAATGAAAAGTGAGGCAAAGGCAAGGCAAGGGCAAGGCAAACAAAGGTGAGGCAAATGTAAGGCAACACATGTCAAGGCATGTCAAGTCAAGGGAAGGCAAAGGCAAGGTAAAGGCAAGACAAGGAAATATCAAGGCAAGGCAAAAGCAAGACAAGACAAGGCACATCAAGGCAAAGGAAGGGAATGAGAGTCAAGAATGTTAAATTTAAAAAAGACAAGTCATCGGCCCACTACTAACAACACCGATATTGTCCCCAACTTAACCACCTACAAAGCCATATAGGTGTGGGGTTTTAAAATAAAAGGCCTCAGTGATATTAGTAGTGTAACCATTCATTATATGTTTATTTAGTCAAGTTTCTGATGTGGGACTTATATTCTTCAACACGCCCCCTCACATGGGACCACGACATAGTGGGCCACACGTGGAGTCAAGTCCACATCGGAGTCAAACATTCAAGCCTAACACGTGAACACCACGTATTGGGTAAGGGTAAACATTCAAGCCCAACATGTGAACACCACATGCTGGGTAAGGGGTAAGGTACATGCCCGGTAACTTAGGCCCAGTCAATTAACCCGCTCTGATACCATGTTAAATTTCAAAGAGACGGGTCATCGGTCCACTACTAGTAACATCGATATTGTCCCCAACTTAACCACCTACAAAGCCCAGTAGGTCTGGGGTTTTATTACAAAAGACCTTGGTGATATTAGTAGTGGAACCATTCATTATATGTTGTATTTTATGTAGTCAAGTTTCCGATGTGGGACTTTATATTCTTCAACAAAGGTAAGGCAAGGAAAGGCGAGAAGTAGGGCATGAAAAGTGCATCAAGGTAAGGCAATGTAAAGGGCATGAGAAGACAAAGGCAAGGCAAGGCTACACAATGCAAGGAAAGGCAAA